ATGACTGATTTCAAATCACGCATTTTGGTCCAATGTAAATGTAATATTAGAATGCTGATTACAAATTGAACAATATTAGAATCTAAAACTCATAAGAAATGCCTTACTATTTCTCCCACTGGGCTGCTGTGTATAACCGGTTCTATACCCAACGAGCAACCTGATTGCATATCTGTTTAAGAGATTCATGATCTTTCTACCGAAAGGATAATCAAAGAGCTTAGCCTGGCTAAAGCAGTGTGTTGGGTGGTATCCAGCAAATTGTTACCCCGTTCAAAAAACATGCTTTAACGAACTTGGAGGGGATTATCTTATTGGAAAGGGCCCTGGTGACCGCCAAAGCAGTAACTTCTGTTGTTGGTAGTTTCAATACTCTCGAAAATGTTGCTGCTAAAACGAAAATGTGCAACAGACTTCATCTTAGAAGTGTGCGTCCAGAGCAGTGATTGAGCAATTTTCCATTGCTCCTGTAACCGAGAGCGAAAACAATCTTTGCAGTTTATTTAAATTGCAGTGGTTTGTAATGTTTTGAATACTAAACAATGGAGTTGACTTTACTAAAAGTATGAGCTTCAACTCAGCCTCTTATCAAAGGTTAAAACTAGATATTTGACCTCATCAGAGTATTCAAATACTGTCTCTCTATATCGTGAATATCTTCAATAAAAAATTAAAAGAGTACTGCACTGAGCAAATGCAATGTAAAAAGAGCTGCAGTTTTCTAAACAAAAAGTCGCATGCATACCGTTGCCACATAGCAAATATTGTAAAAAAGTATCGATACCAAGTACTTGCTTCGGGAGAAATGATAAGAGTATTTATTTGCATGTAAGTACATACATACAGATATCGAGAAATCACTAGGGTGGTACAAACTGAGATCTGGTGGGTAAGTACTATGTTGAATGGTTTACTTAAGGTCAATGAAGTTGGAAACAACAGAAATTTTCTCATCGAGTAAATCGATATCGCATACTTTAACGAAAATGTTTTCGAAATTGCTTGCAAAAATACTTTAGCCTCAGGGGTGTGCGGCGAACTTTTTTTCTGCTGCGGTCTAATGTGCATATGTATATGTATATATGAAGGTATATATATACATAGTTACCCAAATGGCGCGTAAAATAATAAGAAATGCTCAGTTAGTGTGGCATTCATTGCTCAGCTTTGATGCCTGCTCTATACTTGATCATGGAGAGCATCTAATCGCTGCAGCTTATTTGTTCTGGTACTGACACCACACAGCTATTAATTAATTCTGATTGACTCTTTTTCTCGCACTGAGCTTGCTGTGGAATAGAAACGACTTTTTGTTGTCGTTTGATAGTTGTTCTATAGTAGTCGTAGACAAAAAGATATTGGAACGAAACACGCGCCAAATGCACTCACGCGCCAAATGCACTCACGCACACATCGCACACATTGCACACATGTACACATACGAGTACATACAGAGCATAACTGTAGACTCCAAGTGGAGTAGTGGCTCTATTGGAGCACTGTGGCATTTCCGTTTCACGCACACACTTACCTACGGGTACCCACACACACACACACGCGCGCGCACGCCAAACTAACAAAATCAACAAAGTCAAAGTTACGAGCAGTGTTGCCAGAAAAACAACTTCGCTTGGAGCTCAATTGTTTTAAAAGTTGAGCATTTATTGACATAAAATTGCTGTTACATTTTCCGAAGTTTTAGTAAAAATAATGAATTTTATAAATTTAAGTGCTGAAAAAAAATTATTACAACCAACATAAGGTGCATACATTTCGAATTTATTGCTACGGCTCTTATAACACTTATATGTATGCATGCAAAATGCTCTACAAACTGTTAAAATCCGCGCGCCATTTTCATTAGGACTGGAACTTTTCTAAGAATTAATCGGAAGAGATTAACATAAAGGTATCGAAAATAGCCTGAATTCGCCAAAGCCAAATGAATTTTAGTCCACACTTGTACAATGAAATTACAGATTTTCAATTTTAATGTATTACCAAATACAACTCAAACTTTCTGGAGCTAAAAAAGTGCTGGCCAATTTTGAAAATAGCTAACAAAAAAAAAGATCTAGGAGCTAAATCCCAATTTTCATAGCTAAATAGGATAATAAAGAGCTAAATCTAGCTCCAAAAGCCCCAAAATGGCAACACTGGTTACGAGTATGCTCCACACCAATTGTTGGGGAGCCACAATGTCACAGCGGAGCGTACGCCTTACCAGCTCACGATCATGATCAACAAGTGCGTTTATTGCAGTCGTTCGTTCAGTTGGATGGGCATACAAATTTCAGTACCTACGTTTAGTTTAGTTTCTCACGAGCGGTCTTTTGGTTAAAACGTTACTTGCTTGTCGGGCGGATGGTGGCGCATGCGCAAATATATAACAAATCCTGGTACCTACATTTGTGTTTTTTTTTTTTTTGCAAGACTTGAATAAAAAAGTAAGAACTCTACTACACACATACATATCTACATATTCGCTTGTGCCATTCATAATTCTTCATTCTTAACAAACGAAAATGGAAAACGAATGCCTTTGTGGACTAATAACATAGGAACGAAGAAAATTTCTACGATTTTAACTTTTCTATATACATACATACATACATATGTACGTACAAACGTAATTGTGTTCAGGCGCTAAATCGAAGCCAAAGAATTTATAAACAGTGAACATTAGACGACATTTGGTTTAGTTGCCTTTTTTTGTGGAGTGTTAAACAAAATTGATATTTTGTTGGTTTTTTTTTTTTTGTAAATGCACCAACCAACAGCTGTTACGGCTGCCTACTCGAAGCAATAAGTTGTGGCTCAACTGGTGGGTGGTTGCAGTGTAAAAAGTAAAGGTGGGGAGTGCAGTGACTTAAAATACTGGTTAGAATTGAAAATATACGTGAATGCATACATACATACATACATACATACGCATATCTGCCTTCTAGCACAAGACGTTTAATGAGTAAAAAGTAGAAACATAAAAAATAAACAGCAAATAAAACCGATTTAAAACTGGTAGCGAAAACTAGAAATTCTGTGACAATTTTTTGCATTAATTTACGAGTATTTTTGTTTAAAGCGCAGTGAAAAGCTGCAGCAAGACGACTGGTGTAAAAAACTTGTCTAACTGTGAAAAAATGTATAAAAAATAAAACATACATTTTTTAAAAATTATTAACTTATTTTTGCCAAATAAAGTGTAATTAACGAATTATCGAACAAAACGCAGTATTACCGCACGATTGTTATTATTAAACTGCAAAAAAAAAGTTTGTAATACACACGAAAATACTCCAGAGTGAAAATATTTGTAGTGTAACGCGAAATTACATATATTTGTGCGTTCAACTTGCATTACAGTACACAAAAATATTTGCACTTCCGCTCGAGAACCACAGCCAGCGTGCGACGCATTTCGCCCACCTGTTATTCAGCCGCTGCAGTTTTACTTACCTAACGGCGCCCTTTCAAAATTGAAGGCAATCGCCGAGCCGATTTGCCGTTTATTTGCGAGGTATGTTATTGTATTTGTATGTTTTATATTTATACATTTATGCACTGCGTCTTATTTGACTTTATAATCGAATTTTTTTCTTTTACTCAAAAAAAGTTATGTCCACTTTTTGTGCTTTGTTATCGCGCTTAATTGAATTTAGCTTAGCGCTAAGTTATCAGTTCAGTCGCGAGAGAGCGGCGAAGGCAAACAGTTTATCTAAATAAATATTTATTTACTGATCACTCAATAGCATTTTGTTAGATTCTGGCAATTGCTTTTGTAAATATGTAAATAATAATTGTGAGCACTTGGAAGATCAACTTAAGTCGAGTTCGGCCATTTTTTTTGTGGAGCACTTAATCATTGGGTTTCCATATAATGTTTGAAATTTTTAAGATAGTTTGCTAAAATTTGAATAAAACTTAAAATTTTTGTAGAAAATTTTGTTATTTTTGCTTCTAAAATTATAACTTCTTAAATCACTTTAGTTCTTTGAAATATCAGCAGAAGTGTTTACAGATATATATAAATATACATAAGTGAGTCAATCCACGTCCAATCGACCAATGGTTGGAATCGAACTTTTTTAATTTGAATGAAGTTTGGTCAGAACTTTCCTTAATCATATAACTAAGTCCTGTCAGTGGAACAGAATTTAAAAAAAAATCCTAAGTTATGCAAAGTTCTAAATTTCAGGGTTGCCGGTTTTTTGCTAGTTTTTATATATATATATTTTTTTAATATCTCAATAGTTAGTTAATGTAGTTACAAAAAAGGTTTCGGTCGCGTTTTAAAAGTGATATTTAGGGCTATAAAAAAATTGGAAAACAAAATTACAGAAATTTAAAATTAAAAAAAAAAACAGAATCGTTAAACCAAAAACTTATTAAAATGTTTGGCTAAATTTTTTTAAACAATAAATGCCTCCAACTTTTTTTAGGAAATTAGTTTTTGAACTTTGGAAAAATAATTTTTGCAAATTTCAAAAATAATATCTTAAAAAACACATCTTCTCGAAAATTTCTGAATCTTTTAAGATCAGTAAAAGAAATTGTATAAAACAAAAACATCAGTCAAACATGTAGGTATTTTTTCTATATTTTTTTTTATTTTTAGTCTTCTTGATATACTATATACATATATAGCCGTAGATTTAAAGTTGTGTAACTATAATAGTTTTTGTGATAATCAAACAAAAAAAACTTGACAGGAAATTGTAAAATTACGAACTTTCGAAGTTTTTATTTTTATTTATTTTTTCTGTTGCAGAACTTTGTTATACGTTCTCACCAAAATTCATTCAAACCAAAAATCGTCGATAGGATTAACCCAACTATATACAGGTACCAGGGTCATCCTTAAAATATAAACATCATAGACACCCCTTTATTTTTTACGAAA